GCTTCATCTAAATCTGAAGGAATAGAAGTAGCAGAAAGATAGGGGGAAATTGTTTTCATTTTTTCCCCTTAGATAATATTTTTTAAGTCCTTAATCAAAAATATACATCAACACATTCTTGTTTTGTTATCTCTCTAAGAACTCTAGATTAAGAAGGGGGAATAAAAAGAGAAGGAGGAACATGAATGCTCATTCCTTCTATAGTTTATTACTTTCAAATGTCATTTAATTTAAGTTTAATTTTTAGACAGGGCCTCATTTTGAAGCCCAGGTTATCCTGTAACTCAGGTGGGCTTGCAATTTACAGTGTAGTCCATGCTGTCCTCAAACTTGTAATCTTGGGTCTGCCCTTCAGGTGCTGGGATCATAAGACTGCCACTCCACAACTGCCTCTCTTCTGTTTTGTTTGTTTGTTTGTTTGTTTTTGCATTTTTGGAGACAGGATCTCATGTAGCCCAGACTGGCATCCAAATTGCTGTATAGTTCAATATGATCTTGAAATTCTTATTCTCCTGTTTCTGCCTCTCAAGTGCTAGGATTATAGGCCCATGCTACCATGCTCAGTTGTATGTAGTAGTGAGGATTCAACCCAGGGCTTCATGCATGAAAGGCAGGTACTCTGTCAACTCATCTGCATCCCTAGGCCCTGCCCTTCTGTATTGTAAATGAATGGGTTTTTTGTTTGTTTGACTCTATAGACAAGAAACAAATGTTCCTCATTTTAAGACACAGTCATTAAATTGCTCAGCTTCAAGTCTGTCCTTACCTAGCAGGAGTGACAAGCACTGTGGCGGCCACCTACTGAAGGGAGATGTCCTGTCACATTTGGGAGCCCATTGCCTTCACTAGTCCTTCTTTGGGCACGCAAGGAAACATGGCTCCCAACCCTTCCTATCACACTGATCTGTCTCTGAGGCTGCCTGGGAGTGTCCTGGCTCCCAACTTTGAGTTCAGAAGCCTCTTTCACCACTGACTTGCTGTGTGACCTTTCCCAGAAACTAAGGCAAGCCTTAACTTTTTTCACTTAGAAACTAGTGATTAAAATATTTGTCATGTTCCCCTGAGGGGGGCCTTACCAGGCCACAGAGGAAGACAATGCAGCCAGTCCTGATGAGACCTGATAGGCTAGAGTCAAAGGTAAGGGGAGAAGGGTCGCCCTTATCAGTACACTTGGGAGGGGTATGGGAGAAGAAGAGGGGAGGAGGGTGGAATTGGGAGGGGATGAGAGGGGGCTACAGCTGGGGTACAAAGTAAATAAACTGCAATTAATAAAATAAATTAATTAATTAAAAATACTTGTCATGGCAGCTTATAAGAATTATATAAATTATGATGAAATTATGTAGCGCAGTACCAAACATATTCCAAGTATTTGTAAGATATTTAATAGCTTCCCTAACCCTGGGACTTGTTCTTTTTTTCCTTTTTTCTTTATATTTTTATTAATTACAGTTTATTCACGTTGTTTCCCACATATAGCTCCCTCCCTCCTCCCTTCCCAATCCCACTCTCTCTCCCTCTTCTCTACCCATGTCTCTCCACCAATCCACTGATAGAGGAGGTCCTCCTCCCCTTCCTTCTGATCCTAGTCTATCAGGTCTCATCAGGAGTGGCTGCATTGTCTTCCTCTGTGGCCTGGTAAGGCTGCTCCTCCCTCAGGGGGAGGTGATCAAAGAGCAGGCCAATCAGTTCATGTCAGAGACAGTCCCTGTTTCCCTTACTATGGAACCCGCTTGGACACTGAACTGTCATGGGCTACATCTGTGCAGGGGTTCTAGAGGGACTTGTTCTTTAACATGGAATATCACATGGATATCTCTAGGAACTCACTGACTCTCTCCTCCTCCCCCTATACAATTATTCTATGGTTACTTGAGATGAAAGCCTCACACCCTTCTCTTTGGTGATTGGCACAAATCAAGGAAGAGCACTGGCTTCACCTCAGTCAGGCTCAGATGTGTTAGAGGAGAGGTGGCATCTGAGAATCAGGGGGCTGCTCCCCGTGTTTCACACATTCCCGCAGCCTCCAGTAGTTCAGTACAGTGGAGGTCCCTCTGCATCTGCCCCTTCAATGTTTAAGCTTCCTATAGCCGGGTCACCCACCACAATGTTAACACAAGAAAGTAAACCATCACATTGTTGGAACATGTTAGGAGGACACGGTGGCTGAGAATCTTCTGCAGCTCTCCTCCATAGCTGGCATCTGTCACAGTATAAGTCAGATGAGGCCTCTGTGCCTTCACCTGAAGAACTGATTTCCTAGGAGTTGTCTCTGTCCAGCTAGCTAAGCCTGGTCTCCATTCCATGTGTCTTGTCAGAAAACCCAGGATCCATAATGGAATAATGGATTTGAAAGTCTCTTAAAAGCTTTGGAGTGCTTATGAATGACTATTTACTTAAGATGGGTCTGCGGTCAGAACCCAGAAGGTGCTACGCTGTTTAGATCCTAGGAAAACATCTGAGTTTTTTATTTTCTTCATTTACTTGCCGTTTACTGAATCCTCAAAGTGTTGAGTTAGGCATCTGGGTACAACACTAAACATGAAGATGAAGCCTGTTTTTGGAGAATCTTGTGAGGGAGGTGGACCATCAGCTGGTAAAGACACAGATAAAGCAGTTTACAGTGTGATGAGTGGCTGAATGAAAGAAGGAGCCCATTAAGGAGATGATATTGGAAGTGAGACTTGGCCAGCTATGGTGATGCATGCATACAATCCTAGTACTTGTGAGTTTGAGTCTATTCTGTGCTACGTAGTGAGACCAAGGGGTGTGGGTAGGAGTTACCTGAAGAATGAATGGGAGCCAATTCACTGTGCAAAGTTCAAGAAAATAAGGGAGTGTTTCAGGAAGAAGAGGCAAAAAGAAAACTGGCATGCTCACAAAACATAAAGAAAACTGTGTAATCACAACACAGTGAGCCACAAAGGACAGAGTCCTAATGATAACCAAGGGCCACACTGCACAGACTTATAGGTCAGGGTAGATTACGATATTCTAAGTGTGACTGAGAAGGAGATAAAGCTTAACATATCAGATCACTCCCACAGCTTTGTGGAAATATATTTGACATGAAGATGAACAAGCAAGAGTAAAATCAAGGAGAAATCAGATACATTTGTAGTGACCTAGGCAAAAAATGATGACTCGTGTTTGAAGAAGAGTAGGTAGTAGAAGGTGAAATGTATAGTTGAGTGTTTTATTGGGTCTTGCAAAAAAATTTTAATATAATGTTTTGTTTCTTTGATAATTTCATATATGATGTGTACAATGTATTTTGATCATATTCATTCCTACTTCTCCCAAGCCCTGTCAGCTCAACTCAAGATCCACCCCCTACCCACCTCCTTATACACTTTAAAAATTATTACAGCCTTTAATCCCAGTACTCAGGGAGGCAGAGGCAGGAGGATCACTGTGAGTTCAAGGCCAGCCTGGTCTATAAAGTGAGTCCAGGACAGCCAAGGCTACACAGAGAAAAAAAACCTCTTACAATCACTCAAGTCCAATTTGTATTGCCCATGTGCTCCTGGATATGGGGCTATCACTGGAGTATGGTTGACCTAGCAGGAGCCAAACCCATCAGGGAGTATAATACAGACGTCCCACTTGTGGCTGAGCAGCCCCAGATACTTCTTCTCTGCGCACTGGCCAGTTGCAAATATCTTAACTATCTCTGACAGCACAAAGAAAGTGCTCTGCTGACGTCTGAGAGCTGCACTAACAGCTAGGTACAGAGACAGCAGTTGAGAGAGCAGTTTGAATCTCTATCCACTTGGCAAAATAATAAGAATCGGTTCACCCCTGTGGACTGTGAGATCCCTAACAGTGGGTTCTTGGCCAAATTTAAAGAGACCCACAAAAAAGTACAAAATTAGAACTAATGACCTACTTTTCCTGAAATGACCGATAGTGCTGACCTCTTGAACATGGTCACTATGATGATTTTAAGCAACTAAGATCATCTAGAAGATAGCATACTTAAGGGCCACATGGGAGATGCTTTATACCATGCCTGTCCATACCCCATCAGGTGAAAACAAGTCAGGATGTGCAGCCTAACTGCAGAGCAGACTGTGAAATGTGGTTTCATGTGCGATGAGAAAGAGGGAATTGAAATGGGATTGGAGGAGCATAGATCATGAGCTCTGCCACACTGTCAGAGGAGAAACAGAAGATACATACAGAAACAAAGGTGGGGGAGAAGGCACAGGGGAAGGAACTGATTGATGCTGTCATATTACAGAAAACAAAGTAACGTGCCTACAAAAAAGAGGGGAAGGAATTATCAGTTAGGAGCTCCCTGGTAGCATAATCAAGAACAGATTCTATTGTAAAGTGAGAATGGGAGGTAAGAAAGTAAATATGGAAAATATAGATTGTTCTGTCAGAGAAGCAGCTTCTCTGTGCAGAAGATGAAGTATCCAGAAAGTGTTAGCTAGTTGGAGATGCTCACTTATGAGTAACACAGTATCTTACCCTGGCTGGCACGGAACTGCTATACAGACCAAGATGGCCACAGAGTCCCAAAGAGCAGCCTGCCTCTGCCTCCAGAGCATACACACTATGCCCGGCCATGATATTTAAAGCATAACAAATAAGATGCATATAAGTTAAGACTAAGAAGCTAGTTATGAAGAAAAAAATTGAAGTTTATAGGGTGATTGGTTAACGAATCTAGAAGCTAGGACAGAATGTTTTCAGAATACTGTGATTATATTACTCATGGAAAGCAGAAATAACACAGGTTCTTCTAATTCTGCTATAAGTAAGGGACAGGAAATGGAGGCAGTTTATGTCTAATGGTGTTTTTCAAAGGAGTTCATGCCTAAGTTGTCCCTCTTTGCTCTAGGGTTTTCCAAGGGAAACTTTTCTTTCAGAGGTCATGGTATCCTAGTAGAAATGAGAATGTTCTCTAATAGTATTTGGTCTGAAGGAAAGCAGGATTCTTCAGCTGTAGTGAGTATTCTAAATAACCTGTCCCTTTTCTCCTGTCTGGCTAGGCTGTGACAACATGCTGATGGGTATAAAGTCTCTGAAAATAGTGAAGAAGACCATGGACCCAGATGGCTCTTGGATGAAAGATGCTGGCAGTAATTCTGCAAAAGTCTATCTATTAGCTGGATCCAGAAACAACACAGTTTGGGAATTTGCAAACTTGAGGGCATTCATGGAAGATAGCACCAAGCCTGGCCCCCGGAAGCTAATCTTACCACTTTCCTGGCAGGGATCAGGGCAGGTGATCTACAAAAGCTTTCTATTTTTTCACAACCAAGGGACTTCTAATGAGATAATTAAATATAATCTGCAGAAGAAGACTGTGGAAGACAGGATGCTTCTTCCGGGAGGGGCAGGCCGAGCGCCTATCTATCAACACTCCCTATCCACTTACATTGACCTAGCCGTGGATGAACATGGGCTCTGGGCCATTCACTCAGGACCAGGTATCCAAGGCCATTTGGTTCTCACAAAAATTGAGCCTGACACGTTGGGAATAGAGCACTCATGGAACACACCCTGTAGAAGCCAGGATGCTGAAGCTTCATTCCTCCTGTGTGGAGTTCTCTATGTGGTCTACAGGTCTGGTGGCCAGGGCCCTCATCGGGTCACCTGTGTTTATGATCCACTGGGTACTGTCAGGGAGGAGTATCTGCCCAATTTGTTCTTCCCCAGGCGGCCGAGAAGTCACTCCATGATCCATTACAACCCCAGAGATAAGCAGCTGTATGCCTGGAATGAAGGCAATCAGATCATTTACAAACTCCAGACAAAGAAAAAGCTGCCTCTGGAGTAGTTATGGCAGCCTGGAAGGAATTTTGTGTGGCTTGGGCAGTGGTTTTCCAGGACACTGAAATCACAGCCCCCTTTACAGTACAGTATCTATCCCTCAAGATGCACACAGGAATAGGTTCCAAAAGTTGAGATACACAGTCTTCCTTTCCCAGATGTCACTGCCTTACCTATCTTTTGAAAGCACAGATGAGGCCATCATTCGGAAGTTTTTACCAATATCCTGACTTCATCCAAATCCAATGGGGCGTAAGGCCTCCTCCATCTGATCTAATTCCTAGTTTTTCCTTTTTGCCTTCCAGCATTTTTTTCTGACTCTACTGTATTCTCCATCCAGCAATTAGGATCTTGCCACCCCTGAAACTCACTGATTTTTCTCTCTGGCCTTCACTCAGGCTCTGCCCTCTTTTTCAAACGCTTATGAAGATTTTTTTTCTTTGTCCAAATGTATTAGTTACATTTCTTGTTGCTATGACCAAATGCCTGACAATAAGTAATGTAAGAAGGAAAAGGTTTCTGGCAGCTTACAGTTTAAAGGGGAACCAGGCACAGTGGTCCACATCTTCAGCTCCAGCATTTGGGAAGCAGAGGAAGGTGGATATCTGTCAGTTCGAGGCCAACCTGCTTTACATGGTAAGTTACAGGCCAACCAGGGCTCCACAGTGAGACCCTGTTTTTTGTTTTTTGTTTTTTTAAATGGATATAGTCCATTATGGTAGTAGTGAAAGTGTGGTAGTAGGAGCATGACCAGAAAAGAGGCTGCACTAAGAAATGTCAAGGTTTTTCCTCATAGTAACTTAGCACTTCCAGTTAGGCCTCATTTTCACGGTCTGCAACCAGCTGGGAACCAAGTTTTCAAACACACGAGCCTAGGGGGCACTTTCCACATTTAAACCACAACACCCAGTAAGCACTATTTTCTGTTGATGTTTAATTTTTACTTCCTGTAGCCTTGTCCTTCTGCCAAGCCAAGTCGATATAGTAACAAAGTAAAGCCATGACTTGTTGGATGTTACTTTCTGCTTACAAAGCTTTTTTACACTGCTTAATTCTCTTTTTTACCTTTGTGAGCTATGTATAAGTCTTTATAGTTGCTAAGCTAGATATGAGAGTTCAGGTGAGTTATTCAAAGTAGCAAGCTACAAAATGAAAGCCTAGGAAAGACCACAAATTTTACAGTATTTTTATCATCCAAGGAAGTAAGTTTCAATTACATACTTTTGCCCACTTATCCTTAATCGATGTGTCCATCAGTTCAGCCTGAAAATAGTAGTCTGCCCCTTAGCTAGTTTTCATGTCTGCACAAGGTCTTCTTATAGGTCTTTCAAAGTCTCCTTTCTCTAGAAAAACCATCCCAAGGATAAGGATGCAACTCTAGCCTCATCTTGTCTTTCTGTTTTGCCTACTTCTTTCTTCTTGCTTTCAATAAATAAAAGTGAAATTAAGCAAACAATCTATTTGCCTACATCCCCTCACCACAAAAGCATTCCAGTATTATCTGTGCCAGGCTTAACTGTGAATGATCCCTAACACAGGAAGGCCCTTGGTAAATATTCTTGTCTGGATGGAAGCCAGGTAGCAGACAAGCTGCTTTACCACAAGCAGGCATGCTAGGCATTACAGAGGGAGTGCTACTCTTGAGAGGGACTCTTCTTCAGAGTGTTTCCCACATGTGTGTCCCATTTGGCTGAGTCTAGGTCACAAGTGAGGCTGCAGTGCCAGCCTGTGTCATGTGCTGAGGTCCCTGCCTTTCCAGGTTGGTCATATGAGAAGGCTTGCTTTGTGTGCTTGCAGCTGTTTCTCTGTCTTCTGTCTTTGCCAACTCTAGTCTGAGACCACAGGCAGTGAAGAGAGATCCACCCCCAAACCATATGAGTAGACCATTGGCAGAGTGGAATGATCCACACTTCTGATGGAATGGCCCGAGAACCCAAATCTTTTGCAGAATAAGGCAGATATGAATGAATAAACATGATATACCCACTCCATGAGTCCTGAGTTAACACCTGCTCTATGGGTAAAGTCATGTTACCTGCCTGCAAGATATACCTGTTTCAAACTGCTCACCCTGGTACACCGAATCCCCACAGGTAGAATATTTTTCTTAGGTGAAGAAGTTTTCTTTAGGAAGGACCTGCTCTTTGCTACTTTTCCTAACAGCCTGCAGGCCCTGGAACACCTGCTTCACAATCTTCACATGTGCTTTTCAGCTCTGGTCTGGCTGGATTTAAATGAGGATTGATGATGTCTCTATGGCCCAGACCAATGGTTCTTACTTTGTTGCACATAGAATCAATCATCTGGGGAACTTTAAAAATCCTAATATCTAGGCTATACTTAATGCCATTAGATCAGACCCTCTGGAGGTGGGAGGAAAGCATCTATAATTTAAAGCTCCTTCCCAAACTGCACATAAGCTTGAGAAAGCCAGTTTCATACAGATTTTACAAAACAGTTGTATAGTTCAGAGGAAATGGGCAGTTTCTGGGGGACTGGGCAAGATACTATGAGTGGGATTTGGAACTGCCCTAGGATCGCACATGAACTCATGTGAACTGCACAAGCTCCAAAGGCCTCTCAGCCGCTATTTTAAGGAAGTGAAAGAACCTGAGGTGTCCTGCTATGACACAAGTCTCCCTGGCTCCAGCCTTCCTCTGCTGGCCTTGCCTTTCTTCTGCTGCTGGCTGCATCCCTGCAGTGCTCACACACCTGTTTGCCAGAGTGTTTATGCTCTGTTTACGTGCAAGCCTCTGACCACACCAGTAATTTTAGACTAACTTTGAAACAAACAAACAAACAAACAAACAAAAAACAGACATGTCCTGTAGCGTCTGTCAACATTCCAGGTCTAACCAACTGAAGTCCAACTTAGTAGTTACTCCTGCCAGAGTCCCCGGTGTCACTGCCATCTGAGGGCCCTGGGGACTTTAAGCTGCTAAACTGAGCAACCCACTCTTGAAGGCCCCGGTAGGGAAAGCACCTGTGATACAACAGCAGGCTTGCGCGCTGGAGGTAGGTGCTGGGACTCGTTCTTCAGGGCGCAGTCCTTTGGTATTTGAAAATCCAGCCCTTACGGGCAGGCACCAGTTTTCTTTGGCATACTTGTACCTGACCTCGCTGGGCACAGGGAGTGTTCTGTCTTCAGCTATTCACAAGACAGAGCACCAGAGCTTTTTCTTGGTTGTCAGCCACTAGAGGGACCTTCAGGAGAGGTCGCGGAGGTTGGGCCTAGACAGAGCTAAGGGTGACAGGGAGCCCGCCAAAGTGGAGGTGGTCTAGGCTGAGACTGGGAATGATGCAGCCCTTAGACCACCCTCAACCTCAAGGCGATCATCATCGGCCCGTGTGTGTACGTGGTTTTCGATGCGCCTCACTGCCTCTTTCCGCACAAGCGTCCAGCTTCCATGCCGTCACTTTCCGCGTCCTGGGAGCAATGCTGACAGATTACAGAAGCTCAAGAGATCTGAGCACAGTGGGGCACAAAGGAAGTGACACGGAGCCCCAGGTTACCGGAAGAGTGAGAGACCGAGGTGCAACCGGTGGGTTAGTCCCAGGAGGGGCGTGGTCTTCTGGGATGGGCGGAGTTTGAGTCCCCATGCGAGCCCTGCCTGGGGGCGGAGCAAGTTCCTGTGGAACTGGAACTGTGGCTCTTAGGTCCTCGTGGGCCACAGCTGAGTGGGAGAAGGAGGGGTGGGGGCAGAGGGGCGGTCCTAGGGGAAGGCCCCAGCAGCCAGAGAGCCACACTCCAGGACAAGCCTCTCTGGGGTCCCCGCCCCCGTCACGTGGGAGCCGGGCCGGGTTGGTGCTGGCTGGCGGGTTGGCCACTAGGTTGGCAGTTAGTCCTTGGGCCAGTGGCCTGTCGTTGGGTTCTCGGCTCTTATGTTGGAAAGTGAGAGAGACACAGGAGCGAACCGCACACCTGAGCCTCCGGGAGAGAAGCTGTGCTCAGGCATCCAGGTTAGTGGGTTCTCCTAGCGCCGGCTCACCGCCATCCCGGGAACTGAGTGCCCCCAGATCCAAGGACCACATAGAGAGTTGGGGGTCCGTGGCCTTTAGACATACGAACGTTTTCAAGACTTGGGGACCCCCATATTTTTTCTGGGAGACTAAAGAACGAGTGTAACTTCCGCAGATTTGCTTGCGTCCCCCACCTCGCCACCAGATGTGCCACCAGCCCCGTGCTTCTACAGGTGGCGGGGTGGTCCCCGGGATACCGGGATGTTCCGCTATCTCAGAGTTCCGGGGCGATTTTGTCCCAGCCTGGTGTCCTTGAGAGCAGCAGCGGCATCAGCTGGAGAGCCCAAGGTGGTGAGGAAGTTGAGGACGGGTTCACCCCGGTTGATCTCTGCTCCATAGAGTCGTGGTACGGAGCGCCTTGGCCAGGAGCAGTTCTGTACACTAATTGCTAAAAACAACACACTTCCCGCAGTCTCAAGGCACCGAGTAGCTGTAGAGCGGGATTAGGGTGTGGGATGCTTCTATTTTAAAAAGTGGGTCCTCCTGCCTCCTTTCACCGCGACGCCAGACCCATAGTTTTCCTTTCGATGAAAATAAGATTATATGTTTAAAAACTAGAACTTGTAAGGTTCGAGTAGGGTTCTAACAGGCATTCAGTTCTTTCTTTTAGAGCATTAAGATATTTGATATAGATCAGTCTTCCTCTTCATACTTTGGTCTTTTTCCTGTCTGTCTTAATCTGTCTTGGTCCTTAATTTATTAGACTGCACACTGTAGTGTTTGTAAGATTACCATGCATTTTGTGAAGTTAAATGCTAAACTGCAAGAAGGAAGTCAACCACAGACCTAATAATCTTCAGTCTTGGATAGCTATTGACATATCAAAAATGTTATTTGATAAGGGATTATTTCTTCACCTTGGGAGAACCAGCCCATTTGAATTCATATTTAAGTGACTTTAAAGTGGGATATTGTTAAGTCTTTTGCTATTATTTTCATTTGGGATTTTATTTAAGGCTAGTAGTGATGGGGACTGGTGATCTAATTTAGGACCTTGTGGATGCTAGCTAGGCAAGGGCTCTACCACTGAGCAACACCTCCCCCCAGACCTCTTATATTAGCAGTATTCCTTTGAGATTTGATGATGTGCTGAGACAGGCTCAGTGCCACCATCTGTGTTTTGTTAACTAAGGCAGATAGATGTACTATGATTTTAATATTAGATGGATAATGTAAGAGTAAGAGGTAAACAACAAGAGAAAGTTGGTACAAACTTGCAGAAAATTAGTTTTCTTTTTTTTTTTTTTTCATCAGAATAAGGAAAATCTGGGGTAGTTTTAAGAAGGAGAAATCTATATGAAGGACCTCACAGGAAGATGTTCAGGGGTGACTTGGGCCATGGAGAAGCTTATAAGGCAAACTTAGTCTGGGTCCAAGAAATGACTACTGGTCCTCCTTGGTTCCTGGCCTGACTGGTAGACAAAACAAAACAAAACAAACAAAACCTGTGTACTGAGCTGGCCCCTAAGGGGAGAGGCAAGGCCATGGACATCAATGCAAGGATATTAGGCAGAGGCTGACTTTGAACTTTGACCTTCCCAATTCCCAGCCTGACAGAAATCCAGTAAATATTTGTGGAGTGAGTGGTCAGGTGACACCTTGGAGCAGTGCTCTTCAGACACAAGCTTGAAAATCATCTGATGATCTTCAGATGTGAATTTTGATGGTGTCCATATCAAGAGTTTAAAGTAGTAATATACAAACCTCTGAATTGCCTGGGGAGCTTTGCAAACTATGCAGGCTAGTTAAGTAGGTCCCAGGCATGCTTATAGAGTTCTCCAAGTGTTTCTGATAACAGCCAGGTGGGGTAGGCTGCTGGACTTGGCAGTGCTTAGAGAACCTCAGCTGGAGGCCAGTTAGGCTGGCAAGCCAATTCAGGTAAATGTGAAGTGTGAGCGCACAGAAGAGACCCTGGCAATACTGAGTCTTTAGGACCAAGGCCTGGAAGTGGCAGGTGTCAGGTTCTATACTGATTGGGCCTTGTAAGGCACTAGGAAAAGGAACAGTCCTTGGAGAGCTCTGCTTCAATTTTGGATGCAAGGGTTGACACACTGCTTAGATGATACTGGTCAGCTGCTGGTTTGCACTTGTCCATTGTTTTTTGTTGGTTTGTTTGGTTTTTTTCTCCTGAAATACAGATCTGTTCGTGATTTGTTCCGATTTTAATCCTCTGGTTGAGCTCTTGGTATAAACTGTGAGGAGAAAGAAGGAATACAGGCACAGCAGGTGACACATTTTAAAGGTTTATTAAGCCTCACAGACTGTGTCTCCATGTAAGATATGACAGTCACCCTTCAGTGTGCACAGCTGCACCGAAAGCAAAGCTAGAATGCTGGCCTTGGGTTTTCCTGAGTCACTATTTTTCTTGCTTCCTCCTTCCTGCCGGGTTCCACTTCCTTTGCCCTTTGCTATCCTACTATCTTGTTTTGTTTGTGCTTGAAGGCACCTGTGTGTGTTTGTTTTTGGAGTTTAGGGAAGGTGAGCTCTGTCCCTTATAAAATCTTGAAGGACAGTCTGTCGTGCCTAGTGGCCCTCCTAATCTCTACTACTTGTGTTAAGAAGCCTTGTAGGAGATGGGAACCCTAAAGCAACATGGTGGGCTTTCTGTGGAGATCTCCTGAAGACCTCAAACTTCCAGGGGCATTTGAGCTTTGTCTGAAGCAAAGTGAAAATTTCTCTGGGCCTTAAGGTCATTAGTTTGGTGCTCCTTGGTACTTCTTGCTTTCATTTCTTCTCTGTGTCTTTGTGCACATTTATGCACAATGAAAGCTAAGCATTCATTTTACTAACTCCCATGTTGTATAGTAATCTTGTACATATCTGTACATGTCTGTAACACATGTGTAGACACAGGATAAGACTGCCTTTTTTGATAAGATAAACTGCAAAACCCTTGTGACTTTTAGACTAGTTTGTTTTCTAACTCCATCTCCACTGTCTTCCAAACTGAGGAGTTTTGTGCCTATCCTTTTGAATCTATCTGTATGAGGAATGTATGCTTCTTAGATTATAATGTTTGAACATTGCTTTTTGCTTAGTCATGAGTCGGAAGTACAAGTCTGTTCACAGTCCTTTTCTGCTTAAAATCCCCTTGTGGATCCCTCAATGCAAAATATGAGAAAAGTGAATACAAACAGAATAGATGCAATATTCAAACATTGAGTAAGTCCCTTAGATTGCATTCCTCTATGCAAGATGTGATTGTCATCAGTTTCCTCTTCCTGAAGGTACCTGTTGTCTCTGCTCTGTAACATGAATAAAAACCCTGTACCCCCCTCACTCTTAAGTCATTTCGGTCTTTCCATCAATAGCATACAAGAATTCCAATAGAAACTACTTTCTGTTATGTTCTTTCCACTTCTCTGTCCATACTCTGAGCTGCTATAGCTACCCCAGCTTTTGTGTGAGGCCCAACACTTAACAGATATCAGTAAAAGTATCTCGTGCATGTGGGTCCTGGGTTGGCTGGCAGGTTTTGCTTCTTTTGTAAAGAGGGAAGGGAACAGGTTATTTTGTGAGAAAGATGAGAAGGAATGGGAACAGAAGTTAAAAGACTGGAAGGGCAGGCTTAAGAAAGAATGGCTCAATGGCTAGAATTATGGGGTGTGGTGAGGTGTTGTATGACTTTCCTCGGGAGACATGAAAGATGTCTATTCAACACAGATAAGATGCTGATGACACACTAAAGAAATGATTCTACCCAAGCCTAGCTTGGTGAACCAATGGATGTATGAGGGGTCATTGACAGGAGTGTGGGTGACCATAGGACTGCTACATCTCTTAGCGTGAGTGAGAATGTAGGAAAGCGGTACCATTGAAGCTCCTTGCTCAACTTGTAGGCAGCATGACCAGATAGATTCTCTTCTCTAGCAATTACTTACTGCTTTTAGAAATTGGGGAGAAGCCCTATGTGTTCTATATCTTCCCAACTAACTGAGACTTCGAAGAAACCCGTAGGTAAGTTTCACAGCTTCCTGGTTTGTATGAGCCTCCCTGCTCCCTACAGGAGGAAGTGTTTTGATTCTGTGGAAATGGCTATACATCATAGAGACATTTGGAAAGGAAAGGCTGGCATCCAGGAAGGTAAAAGATGGTGGAAGGCCCTGAAGGTTGGAGCTAAAGCATTCAAATTTTGACCTATGTGATCACACACACACACACACACACACACACACACACTCACTCACACACACACACTCACAATCTCAGCCAACTTAGCAGCATGGTAAAACTCATCTAAAAAGAAATTTTTTGTACTGATGACATTGGAAGCTATGAGTAATATGGAAAGGCTCTATGCAGACTTGTTTTTAGGGGGTTCTCTTTTGTGAAAGGTAGACTAGAGGACTACGTACAAGGACATGTTATTGGAGTATCCTATAGGAGAATCTTAGGTCCTCAACCAAGGCAGTGACAGAAGGAAAGGAGATGTGCGCTTGCCAAGGAGGCTCTGACTGGATTTAAGGAAGAGAGAAGAGTCATCCTGGATGCTGACCAGCAGAGAATGAGGTGATTGTGAATAAGTGTGGGACCACGGAGGAACTTCTTAGAAGAGGGAAGGGAAAGAGGGTGGTGATATATTTTAAACTCAGAAGAAGGGTAGCTTCCTGTTTACACTTTATAATTTTACCCAGGAGGATGGCAAAGCCCAAGGCAGTGTACCCGAAGTCATTCCATTCTTAGTTGCAGATCCAGGCTTCCTAGCCTCCTGGCTTCGATCTCGTTTAATCTGTAGCCCTATGCTATTGGCCACAGGAGAGCTGCCAGAGGTCCAGATTGAGATCCCATTAGCCAATGAAAGCAGGCATTGGACCACACTAAGGGAATTCAGTCTGTAGAACCAAACAGGGAAGCTGTAGCCATACAGCTCAGGTATTCAGGGGAAGTGTTGGCTGGCAGCTAATTCCAGTAAGGCCTGAAGACTCGGGACCTCTCACCCCTTTTTTTTCTGGGCCTTTACCATAGGTGGGGTGGCATCAGGTAAAGAAGTGCTTTTTATGGTATCAGAACTCAATTTTCAGTATATTCCTTGTGCATATTCAAGTTTTTCTGGGAGTGTAACCATTAACCAGTTTACCAATTCATTGGAAATGTATATTCTAAGGACCCAGCACTCTCTTCTCTCTCAGACAGACTTTGGGGACACATTTAATAGTACTGTAGTGATTAATAGATGAGATAAAGGAGGAGAAGGTGCTGGGAATGATAGCTGTCTGGGGATAGCAATCAGTCCCAAGGACTTTCTGTCCTCGGAAGGGCGGGGATTGTGATAACTGAGTGATGGATGGGGAGAGGACCTTGTCTGGTGCCTATGAGAGACTGAGGCCAGAATTTCCTCCTCCTCACCCATCCCTCTGTACTTCTCTGACCAGCCTGGCTTCCCAGATGCTGGCCTTCCAGGACAGTCTTGCTTATGTTGAGGACCTCAAGACAGAGGTCATTTCCATCTGTTAAGACAGAGCTACATAGGTTAACATATGTGAAACAATTGGAATCATCACTTATCATGTATAGCTGGCAAGACCAAACAGTACTTGAGCTGTGCTGGGAATTGACTTTGAAGGTGAGCTTGTCTAGCCGTCCTGGCTTTCTCTTTCCTCTTTCTCCCTCACCTTGTTCTGAGGTTGAGTTAGTTTTCCTGCCCTGTCATCCTTAAGAGACTTAAATATGTGCTTATGCCTGCTCACCCATGCTAAAGTAGCAGGGACAGTCGTAGATAGCAGACTTGGGTTGCCCAAGGTTTACCATGTAAGGTGGGAGGAGACTCATTAACAAAGATTAGTTAGTTCTAGTCACTCTACAATGCTTGGCCTCTCCCCTGCTGTGGAATTCCTAAGGGTCTACTCTTGAGTGTAACTGGCTCTTCCCAGGGATAACAATTTTAAAGGGAAGGTGATTATCTAAATCCTGGGATTTGTTTGCCTTCTTGAGGTTGCTCAGAGCCCTGTTGACTGCCTGAGGGTGTTCAGCTAGAACAGTCGGAATGCCTCCGGGGTGAAGATGTAATTTCACAGTGCATGATGGAGTGTGCCAGTTAAATGCAACCTGGCATCTCAGGCTGGGCAAGGACCTCTCTGAGCTGAAGGGCTGATCTTGTTGGCTGCAGAGTGTCCCAGAAAGTCATCACTTGCTCCTCCTCCTTGAATATTTTATTTTTGCTCTTTAATTATGTATATATATGTGCCAGTGTGCATGCAAGCGTAAGTACCCTTGGAGGTCATTGGTGTTTTGGATTCCCTTGGAGCTAGAGTGAGTGACAGTTACGAGGACACTGGCATGGGTGCTGGGAGTCAGATGCAGACCCTTTGCAAGAGCAGTGTGTGCTCTCGACTCTTCTCCAAGAGCTCTCCAAGAGGCCCTCTTAACAAATGTCTGCAGCCTGCTTTTGGGAAAGACCCAGAGATGCCTGATAAAAGCAACTCCTTAGTTGATAGTTGTGTATTGTCAAAGAGAGTTGTATAGGAACCTAGAGGGAAAGAAAGGACAGGAAATAGGAAAGTGCCATGGCTCAAACCAAGAAGACCCATGTTGTTTCTTGTCTGTGTACAGGATGACTCCTCAGCAGCTTCAGCCTCTAACACAAGACCATGTTTCCCGGGTGCTGGAGAGATGGCTCAGCTGGTAAAAGCAGTGTCTGCTCTTCCAGAGGTCCTGAGTTCAATTCCCAGCAACTACATGATGGCTCAAGACCTATATACTGAAATCTGATGTCCTCTTCTGGTGCGTAGGCATACATGCAGATAGAGCACTCAATGCATAAATAAATAAAATCTTTGGGAGGGAGAGTGGGATTGGGAGGGAATGAGGGAGGGAGCCACAGCTGGGATACAAAGTAAATAAACTGTAATTGATATAAAAAAATAAAAATGTAATTAAAAAAAATAGGGAGACAACCCAAAGTGTTTAACCTCACTACAGCTTTGTGAAGTGTCTACCAATCAATAAACCAGCTCTTTTAAGTAAAAAAAAAAGACCACATTTCCCTTAAACAAGAGTGCCTCTTTCATGAATATCTATCTTATTGGACTGCTTACTGGAGGCAACAGAATTATAGTTAGGCCTGACTCCTCCAGAGGAGCTATAGTGGAACTGCCTGCTTTGATATGTTTGGAAAGGGTTGTCTCGTGAGGCAGAAGTAAGTGGGAAACACCCCATGCTGGGATTTCAACTGAGAATCTTTCGTATACCATTTCCCAGTGCCCTATCCCTGGGAAGCAGATTTTTGAAGGCTCCAGAGAATCAGATTTAGTTTTATATATTGCAGCATGAATAATTTGTCTCTGCGTGTTTTCATGTGTGTACAGGTGCATGTAGGGGCCAGAGGACAGCCTTGGGTTCCTTTCCTTAGGAGCTAGGCATGGTGGCAAACACCGTTAATGCTAGCACTTTGTCATTTCGAGACAAAGTCTTTCCCTGGTTCTCTTGCACTGCATAGACTAGGCTGGCTGGCTAGCAAGCCCCCAGGGATCCTTGTCTCTGCTTCCTAGCTTTGGCATTACAAGTGCAGCCCAATGCTTGGTGTGGCTGCACTGCCTCAGGCATTAAACTTATCCCATACCTTGAATTCTGTGAGCACTAGGGGGAGCAAGGAGGAAAGGAGCTAGGGGAGGGTGCGTTGGCATGCCTAGAGGAGAGTAGTTAAATTGTTATCTAGAGAGAAAATGGCAAGTTTTGCTCATTCAGCATTTTACCAGAGCAAAGGAATAGTTCTTGGCTCTGACATTTAACCTTGATTGGATGTCATAGAAAGGTTTATTACATAATCTCTTCCTGCACCCTGCCAAGACATCTGGTTCTTCTATGCAACACTGCTTACCTGGTAACGGCAACAACATCCCCGCATGTCTGTCTGCATTTTCATTGCGCCAGCTCACTGGTACAGACAAAGCCGGGGGCGCAGATTATTGTCCTGCTTCGCAAAGGAGGAAACCCACTCCTCCTGCTCTTCCCACCCGTCATTCCTTCATAGCAGGCAGCTGGTTTTCTCTATCATGAAGGTTTGGCCTGCATGATACTTGAGGCCCTGGCAGTACTAGGATATGACTTTGAATCAAACAGTTCTCTATCCAAGTCTCTGTGCTCTACAGGTTCAAGGCTGCAACTTTGAGCAACTCTGTTTACCCTTCTGAGTTTTTAAGTTTCTCATTTGTTTATTGGCTTAATGATAATAGAGGCCCACTTCATTTGGTTGTTGTGAAGATTAAATGGGATGATGCAATCATCGTTGGCCAGAGTGCTTGGCATGGTGTAGACATTCAGTAAATGGTATTATCATTATTTTTTCCTTTCTCAAGAAGCCTGAGAAAAACATTTTGTCAGAAGTGGTTCACATCATGAAGTAACCTTGTAGTTTCCCTCTTTATAACTTTGAAGAGGAAAGGAGCAGGTGTGACTTAGAAAGAACAGCCATGGTACAGGGGAGCAGAAAGTCCAGGAAGAAAGCTCGCAGAGGAGACTGTAGAGGTCAGGTTCAGATGGCTGGCCATCAGCATACAGGACAAGAGAAGCACAGAGCTCAGCTCAGTAAAACATGGCAGCAGTTTCAGGGCAAAGTCCCATCCTCAGCCTTCTGGGATCAATTTGCGTGTGTCTTCACAATCCAGGTGAAAAAAGTCCTTGTACATTTTTTTAGCTTGCCTTCACTAATAGAAACAGCGGGGGAGCTTTCCTTGAATTTACCCTCAAACATGTTGGGGAAAGGGCTCCCTAAATGCTGTAAAATTAATGTTCTTGTCATGCAAGACCTGAGAAGAGACAGCAAGACTGCCATGAGACACAGATGAATGAGGCAGCTATTATGTTTTGCCCAGACTTGTATCTACTGGGCAGCTGGAGGGCTTGGTGTGAGGGAAGAGAGAACGCAGAGATCCTTGGACATGTGACTTTCCCAAGGTGTCCTAACTGGTGAATGACTGACATCACATTTATACTTGGTCATTCTGACCCTAAATGCATGTTGTTTCTACCCTTACTACCACATTTAGGGTCCAGATGAAGCAGTCAGTTATACTGAAGACCTTTTTTTCTCTTAATGATGACAAGGCAGGAAGATAGTCAAGTCAGCATGTGCCTGACCATGTTAACCTTCGGAGAAACTTAGCAGATGTGGCAAGATTGTCACAAAGCCATATTCCTGTTCTAGGTAGCAGAGCTCAAAAATAGTAACACATTGCTGTTCTTTTTAAAGTGTGTGTGTGTGTGTGTGTGAGAGAGAGAGAGAGAGAGAGAGAATGTATATGAGTATGTATGTGTGGGTAAGTGTCTGCAGGTGTATATGTATGTGTACCACGTGTGTGCCTGATGCCTTCTGAGCCCGGATCTCCTGAAACTGGAGTTACTGGGGATGGGAGAATGGGGGTGGGATGGAGTGGGGACTGTGAGCCACCATGTAGGTGCTAGGAGTCAAACCCAGGTCTCTACAAGAGCAGCAGGTTCTCTTAACTACTGATCTGTCTCCAGTCCCTACACTTCTTTTTTTAAGGCATCAAAGAAACTATTAGTCCCTTAGTACTATAGGTAATTTCTGAATTTTTAGTTCTATTTTTCCCCACTCAAGAAAATATGTTAAAATAGGGTGTGGTTGTCTCAATGCATACAAAAGGCGTCTTAGCTTTAGCTACTTCACCATTAGTCACATCATTTGCAACAACTCCATCATTTAGGACCCTGGGATGTTTAGCAAGAGTGGTGCTCTGGAGTGGGCTGGACGGGCATAGTGAGGGATGAGAGTCAGGACAACCTGGGCAGTGACCCAGGTGAAGCTGTGGGGGTGAAGAAGTGTGGCTTATGGAATGTGGTAAGCATTTGCTCAGAGGTTGCCCAAGCAGAGGTTTGGAGTGGGCGCTTGGATCCCTGCATGAAAGGACAACATTGTTACTATGTGTGGCAAGTTCAGACTGTGGACAGGTGGGCACTGATGGAAGCTGTCTGTTCAAGTCAGCAATCTTTTTTATTCTGTCAGTTGGAGAGCCAGCTGGTGCTTATCACTAAATAGGTCTGCCCTGGTCTTAATCCTCTATCTAGCTTGATGTGTCTCTTGCTACCAGGGCCCCGCTGCAGTCCTATAGGCCATTCTTTGCTCTGTCTTCTGTGTGAGCCTGTGAAAGCTAGCCACCAGCTCAGAAAGTCTGCAAAGACCAGCTGTGGAGGAAACAGTGATTCTTCTTATCAGGATTTGCTTGTCTCGAGGCTACAGTGTCCTGAGATCTCAGGTTAATGGGCTACTTCTTCGGAAAGAGAATTTCTACCTCTATGTCCCACCTATCAAATGGGAGCCCTTTAAAAATGGTGAGGGATGCTTCACCTTAACAATCCAGCACTCAAGTATCAGGGCTACCTATATTTAGAAGACAGTTTTAGGTAAACTGACAATTGAATGAGTAATGGTGTTAGTGAGGAGAGTCCTTTAAGGTATGTGAGAAAGATATGCCATTAATTCACTGTTATGTGATACCTGTCTGCCTAACTCCTGGGCTGATCCCTTCTTTGGTACTGATCTCTCCCTCAGCATTTGGCATCCACTAAGAACATTTATGGGGCTTCTAGGATGCTGGTTCCACTTGGCTGCCTTCCCTCACAAGTCATCACTGGACTTGATATGGGCACTCTTGATACCGGTGCACAGTACAGAGGTTCTGCTGTTTCAAGACTAAAGGTAGCTGTGAATGTGATGAGATCATGGTCCTTTCCCCACCTAAACCTACAGAGCCCAGTTTCTGCTTTATCTGCCATGATGGCTACCTCCAGATCCTTTTCCCTGGTTGTGACTTCTCTGTCAGTCAGTCCCCAAGTGGCCCCTGAGCATCATAAACTTATCCTGCTTACTTTCCCTGAGCAGGGTTAGAGACATGTGATCTGTAAGAGTGGACACGTGACCTGTAAAAGTGCACACGTGGCCTGTAAGAGTGCGCATGTGATCTGTAAGAATGCACATGTGACCTATAAGAGTGGACTTGTGACCTGTAAGAGTGGACACATGATCTGTCGGAGACTTTGGCTCAAGAAGGCCATGGCCTTCCTGTTTTTCTGTCAGGTACTGTTAGAAAGGCACAGAAAATTCAGAACACATGTACAGTGTTTGAACTCTGGTGCCCTCAGTGTCCACTTATGTTGGGGCTGGCCTGGAGGTATATGGCTACTTCTTAAAGAAAGTCAGGATATATCCTGACTTCCACCCCTTCCTTACATTTAGGCCACAAAGAGTCTTGGCCAAATCCATCTTATAGAATAGTACAGTCAGGATGTGCTCCCTGAATGGGGTGAGTCAGGGTTTTGCAGATTTACTGGGCCAGGAACTGAGTCTGAGAGTTTCATTCTGTCCTCTTTCTTATCACAGTGTCCAGCCTTTTGTGAAGCAAGTATACTAGTGTCCCCAGTATACAATAACCCAAGAGGTTGATGTATATTACCTAAGGTAAAAACCAAACAAAAGTCAGCAGGGCCAGCATTTAATTACTTGTTCATCCAATTTTGCTATGACCTGAATATGTTCTTTCTTTCATATTAATTTTCTGAAATCCTAACCCCTCCCCAAGTAATGGTATAAAGCTGGGCTCTGAGAGATGATTAGGTGTGGATGTTGAGCCCCTATGAATGGGATTACCCCCTTTTAAAAGGGGCCTGAGAAGTAGTCCCTTGCACCCTGCGCATGCACAGCTAGAAACAGGAAATGGGCTGTCCCCATCTTCAGACTATTAGAAATAAATCTGTGTTGTTTATAA